CCCTCCTCCATTCTACGCCTTACCAAATCCCCACTACCAGAAAGTTCCCTCAGAAAGCACGCTTAGTTAAGGAAATCCCCAAGCACCCCATAAGACCTAAACCCTAAACCATATTCCCTAAACCCTAAACCCTAACTCCTAAACCCTAAACCCTAAACCCTATTCCCTAAACCCTATTCCCTAAACCCTAAACCCTAACTCCCAAACCCTAAACCCTATTCCCTAAACCCTAAAGGGAAATCCCCAGGCACGCCATGGGACCTCCTTCTTAAGGAAGCGATCGAACGTGCCAGACATCTTTCCCTTCAGATCCTCCAAACCAGGTACCAGGTAATCGGAGGTGAAAAACCCCTTACCACTTACTTGAAGGGGTGGGGGTTTAGGGTGTAGGGTTCAGGCCTATTTAGGATTTAGGGGCAAATCCTGGAGACAAGTTTCCAATAGGAGGAGCTTATGTAAGTAATGGCTGCATGCTGCATAAATAAGCAGGCATACAACTGTAAGGCACAGTCCCCTGTTGAGAACTCCCCTCCCGTGTTGCCTTAGACAAACTTACCTGGTGATACTTGGGGATTAGGGAGCAGAGCCTTATAGTCCCTATATGGTAGTTTATTTAAGTTAGGGGGACCCTAAAACCCTAAACCCCAAACCCAAGACCCTAAACCCTAAACGCCAGTACCCTAAGTTGCTATCATTCTTCTTATGGCGAGCCCCAAAAAAGGTACCTCACATTTTGGGAAACCCTGGTTCCCTATAAGCCCCTGCGGTTTAGGGTTTAGGGATTTTAGGGTTTTGGATTTAGGGATTTTAGGGTTTTAGATTTAGGGATATTCGGGTTTAGGGTTTAGGGATGGTATAGCTTCCACTCCAAGTCCTATCTTCTGTCCCCATTTGATTCGACATGATTGGGGTACCATTTTTAGAAGCCCCATCTCATCCCCGAGAATTGTTCACCCTAGTATCGGGGCCTAAATAATTACAAATATTATGGTTCCATATTCCTTGTAAAATTAAAGTATATGGTACCTCAAATAGACCTCAAAATGATATTGGTAATTATTCAGGCCCCTCTATTAAACCCTATATTTCACATTCCTTGCAGTTGCCCATATATACAGGCACCATGTCTAGTATAACGGGTGGAGGAATTGTTTCAGATAGCGCGGTGCATAGGTAGTTAAAGGGGATGCATACGTGTCAATTTCTTGGTTTTAACGACTCGAATACTTATCACTGAAAGCCGCACAGGTAACTGCCCATGGACCTGAAACTTCAAAGTAGGGATGTCTTACACTTGTCGGGCGTTGGGATTCACAATTGTCTCTGGTCACAGGCATCTTCAAATAAGCTAGACTAAGCTCCAAGCATCCCCCTTGATAATCCCCATACTAGTCTCCTATATAATCCCCTATATAACCTCCGCGCGAAGGAGTTTAGACTCTAAGCCCTAAATCCCTACAAAACCCCCCTTTAAGGAGTTTAGACCCTAAACCCTACATAACCCCCCTTGAAGGAGTTTAGACCCTAAACCCTAAACGCCACATAACCACCCTTTAAGGAGTTGAGACTATAGCTCAAGTGAGCGAGGCCCAGGGTTTCGTCTCTGGGAATTTAGTTCAGCTCACATTCGAAGATTTGGTCAAAGTACTCTGAGCTGGGTTGCTGCTAAGGAGCTTAAAATAAGTTGCCATGATGAGTATGTGTATATATATAGCAAACAATAGGGTTTCCCCAATATAGTGGCTTACATTAAGTTCATTCATGTTCATTAGTAGCAACCCAGTCCTTTTCCGACCCTAGAAATTAAAGCTTCATTGCTAAACCCCAAGCCCTAGTTCCTAAACCCTAAACTGTGTTGCTTTTCCGGGGCATCCAGATGCGCTGCACGGTTTCGGGCTTAGGATTAAGGGTTTACGATTTAGGGATTGAGGTTTAGGAGGTAGGGTTTAGATTGACGGGCTAGGGTGTAGTGTTTAGGGGTTAAGCGTAACTATAGACTCTAGCCTACATGAGAAAAGTTCTGGATCCCCAATGCTAAATCTAAACTGTGAATGGATTCCCCCACCATATCTAGGGTTTAGGGTTTAAGGCCTTATGGCCCCCACCACAGGTTCCCCCTTGAATAGCCTTAATTAAGCATAAATTGCCTCAAGTAAGGTGACTCATGGCTCACGTCAGATTTCAGCTTGCAACCCTCGACCCTGAACCGGAAACCCTGTAGGATTCAGGGTGTAAGGTTTAAGGTTCAGAGTTTAGCGTAAACCCTGAACCCACAAGGAAATCGGTGTCCTCGAGATTTCCTGACATCTTGCCCTTCAGGTCCTTCAATTAACAGGATTTTCCAGCTAGAGAGTTATCAGTGGGTGCCCTTATCTAAGGCTTATATAACGGGGCAAGTACAAGTATGTAAGAGCTATGTAAGCCCTGTGGCCACACGTAAATTCCTTAGATTCACGGTCTACGGTTCAGGGTTGTGGGCTATGTACAAGCTGTAACGTATCACTGAGACTGCTCGCTGTAAGAAAAGCCACATACAAACAGACAGACACGTAGCAGTAGCTGCGCAAGCCAATTTAAGGATAATAGGGGGATTCCAATCACCTTAACCCCCAAAATTAGGCCTGTATAACTGTCATATGACTGCACGTCGTAAGGCCCTAATTTAGGGGTTAGGGTTCCCAGAATCCTCTCTAAGTAGAACGAGATCAGATCAGAACAGAAGTAATGAGATTCCGGTCGGAACAGGGCACAAAGCCTTTCAGAAAGGTTCGAGCGTTTAGGGTACATGCTGCGAGTATACTAGGGTTGGCAAGAAGATTTAAGGTCTGTTGTCTCGTTAGTCCCCATCTCGCCCGGGAATATGTGAGGAAACTTGCGCTACAACCAGTATAGGGGATCTGTAATGTGGACACTGATGCACCATGCCCCTACATCCCTACGCCCTAAATTCTAACCCTAAACCTTGAACCCAGTCTGGAAAGACTCCTGGAGCATAGCGGGGAGATGGGGAATGGGTTATAAGCCCTAAACCCTAAAACCGAAACCTTATAGTATCAAGATCTTCTGGGGAGTATTACAGGGCCGATTCCCTCATTCGCAGAAACACATTTGGTCGTAAACTCTTAAACCCTAAGAGGTTCTCGAGGTATGTGGCTTCTAACGCATATTTGACCACACACGGTTTCGGGTTCAGGCGCTTAAGGCTTTTCCTTGACTTGCATCGCCTCTACCCTGACTCCTAAAACCCCCACAAACCCTAACCCCCCTCAAAACATCCCCAAGCCCTTGACCCTAAACCCTAAGCTCAGGATAACTCCGAAATCCATGACATAAGATAATCTTCAAGCCACTTTCTGTATAAATCCAATTTTTTGATGAAACTGGGCGGGGTCGCCATAATCTACACTCCTTGTTTAAAGACAAGTTGGACACACTTAAGGTTTAGGGCGTGAGGCATCGGGCTAAGGGCTATGAGTGTGCAGAAAAGTAAAACGTCCATACCAAACAAAAGGGTTTAGGGCTTAGGCTAAACCCCAAGCCCCCTAAACCTTAAGCCCTGAATCCTAAACCACCTAAAGGAGGCGCGATTTTAAGGTGGATATCAATAATGGGTTTAGGGGTTTAGGGTTTGATAAGGGGACGTATCTTATGGCTATTTTTGGGACAGGTATTTTGAGCAACTGCCACGTACGTCCACAGATGGCCTGGAAAAACCTGGTCATTTGACTTTCGCTGCCGTGTGACTGCTGAGGGAGTTGCAAGACTCGGTTGCACTTTGCAGCAACTAAGTCGTAGCAGACTCTCGGGAATGCGCTGGAGCCGTGCAGGCTTCTTGAGCCAGCCCTCCTGTCCCCGTAGTTGGCGGATCCAAACAACCGGAGGTAGGTAGTGGTGGAAAAAACAAGGCTTGCGCCTGTTTGCTTGCCACACTCCAACGATTGCTTCTGCTCTCAGTGTGCTATTCAGTCTCAGATGTGCCGCGCTGGCGTCCCCTGCAGGGGATCAAGGCAGTGAAGGAGATTGACAACCCAAACCCCAAGTGCTACACCTTGAAAGCATGTTTTTCAAAACCTTGCTGGCTATGGAAATGCGTCTCCTACAACCCAATTTAGCAGGCAAGACTGCTTCTGCAAAAACTCATACCCGTACTCAGAAGGCAATAATTCGACCGTTGCTAACCCTCAACCCTATTTTTGGTAGTTGTAAAGCAGCGGACTCTTCAGTCTCTGCTTGGACGTCTGCATTCCCCCCCTCTTACTAGCACTGGTGTTTCCGTGAATAGAGGGACCAAATTCGAACCCCAAAGTACCAGTATCCTTGGTACTAACTAATGACTTCCAAAACGGGCGTCCTCAGGTTTATAAGCCCTAAGCCCCCAATCCTAGACCCCATTCCTAAACCATGAAACTTCACGCTTGTCCTCAAAGTGACCAGAGACCTTTCCTGTGAGCTCCTTCACACGCTGTACAGCTTCGGGCTTATGGTTTGAGATTTAGGGTTCAGGGTTCACATTGGCTTGAAGCCTACGTAGTCGCCTCCAATCAACCCTGACCGCTGAAACCCTAAACCCCAGAATATGATGCACCCAAACCCGAACAATGGGGCCGAAAGTTTAGTCAACATTGGGGCAGCGGTACCCGGTAGCGATGGCTGCGTTTAAATTTAGGCTTTAGGGTGTGGAGTTTAAATTAGGGAGTTGCGTGTTTTGCAAAGGTAGTTTGGGGTATAGAGTGTAGCCCTTAGAGGAGGAAGGTTCAAGGATTGAATCAAGAAGCCTGCAGAAAAACATACAGCTCCTCGCCCACCCGACCTTGTGTGAGCTGGGAGTTGATTATCTACATGATAACCTGTTCTTTTGTTTTCACAACCCTCCGACGTACTTTATAGCCTGGTACCTACTTACATAGCTCTTGTTCCATTCATCTAAACACCTCTAAGAGCGCTCTCAAGCTTAGGAGTAGTTTGAGGACCAAGCTTCATGATTGGATCGGCAGTCAGAATTACAACTTCTCATCAATCCGTGCAAGACACCATCCGTCGCCGCAGGTGCAGGGCAGGCGGCGCGGGTTCAGCTGGACAGGAACTGTGGCTGCCTGCGGCTCACGGTCGCCCTCCTCCGCTAGGATCATCTGCTGGACAACCTGCATGAGCGCCTCGTAGGTCTGGAAGCGAGACCGCCTCACTCGCTCATGGACTTTTTGTCGGTGTCTGTCCAAACCAAGCCTTCAAGTATGTCCGGTTCATCCAGAAGCTCGAGGCCATGCTGCCCGCCTCGCTGCCCGCCTCCGCCTCTGACGGAGTCGGGCGGCCCGCAGCCATTTGGCTGTCGAGGGCCTAGGTGTGAAGAGTCGAGGGATCTTTTAAATAATTGTGTCTTTTAACTATTTGGCCGTCTGCTAAATAATCGAATTAAGACAGTTAGGAAGTGATGTTGTCAGTAAGTACCAAGGCATGTCGAGTTTATCCTGAAACATAAACCCGACAAGACCCCTACATGCCTTTGAACAAGGGCACGGGGGAAGCCTTGATCATTGTTTTCATTATCCTATCACTATATTCATTAGCCACCTGTTAATGGCTGGGGACAGTACTCAAGATCTAGGGTTTAGGGTCAAGTCCATTGGCAGCCTGTCAAAACTGTGGTCCCTTTTTGCATCCACTATTTCTCACAATGGCCCCCCAATAATTTACGGGCCAAGTCAGGGACGATTTTGGACAGGCGTCTACATGGTACTAGCCTCATCATTAGCGACATGTCAAAGCAGCACAAGAAGCGGTAGTGCCGAAAATACCCACAGCTGGTTCTGAAAACTGTCTTTCAACAGCCCGAAACCATAAATCGTAGACGTTAGGTCGTTCCTCTTTTACAAGAAGAACTACCACCCAAGATAATAGGAGTTGTACTAGCCCCTTCATCACAACCCTTTCAATGACATGTACTGTGTGGGGGGCAATGACCCAACCTAAACTCCAACATTGCTAGCGCAGACCAACCCTTTGAGGGGTTCACCGAATCACCGCGCTCCAGGCTACACCCACCTAAACCCTAACCCTAAAGCTTCTTTGGGATGAACCAAGGTTAACTAAGGTGGAACCTGGAGAATCCGCAATCTACCCGAAAAGTCTGGACTCTACATGGACATAGTGTCTAGTAGATTGTGAAAATGTGCGGTACAAGGTAGCAGCCAACATGGAAAGTACAATAGTAATAGCAAAAACAAAAGTACTCAAAGTAGTACAAGTGACTGTACTACTTACTAATACAAGTGACCGCAATCAGTACACAGGTAGTAATAAGCAGCGGAATAATATTCATCGAGCTTTACAAGAAGAATGAAGGATATGTAGAATGCATGGACAATAGCTTCCATTTGTTTAGCCTGACCATCTCCTCCCAGAGCTCATCTATGCCCCAAAACACAGGCCGCAAAGCAACCCTAAACCCTAAATCGCATTCAATCCCAAAGTCCGAAACCTTCCAAAACCCCCTATTGAGCTGCACATCTTTCCAAACTAGTATGGAAGATGTAAAACAGTTCTTTGTAGGCTGCTGTCTCTTAAGCAGGGAGCTACAGGGGGTTCCAGAAATAGGGGGGCCAATACAAACCCCCAAATACTACAATCCTTATCATGGGGAAATCCCGTAGGGGACCCAGGATTTGGGGAACCCCGATGCGACCCATGGTTTTTATTTAATTTACCCCATGTATACACTCAGCGACACTCCTAAGAAACCCTACATTCCCTTTTGTAAGCCCAAATCCCCATACATCAGCTATAGTCTGAACTCCTAGTATCCATATATTCCTCTATATAACCCCCTTTCAGGAGTTTAGACTATAAACCCTGAATCTACACCCCAACTCTAAGAATCCCTATACGGAGTTGAGTGTTAGTTCTGCCGGAAGGTAATTCAAGGCTTCAATAATTTCCAATGTCCTTTTGCGGTCTATTAGTGGCATCCCGTATTATGACTATACAAGGGAGCTTGAACCAAAATATTTGTAATGCTGAAGCCTGAACCCCCTAGACCCTAAATTCCCAAGCCCTAAATCCCTTGACCCTAAGTCCCTTAACCCCAAATCCCTAAACTCTGAATCCCTTAACCCCAGATCTCAAACCCTACACCCCTAAACTCTGAATCGCTAAACCCTAAATCCCTAAACCCTAAATCCCTTAACCCTAAATCTCTTAACCGTAAATCCCTTAACCCAAATCCTCATCCCCTACATTATGCTCCCCGAGCTCCTCAGCCTGTGCGCTGACCTTGCCACGGAGGTCCGACACCTGCGCCTTGGCAACGGGATTCGACGGGTTCCCTTTAGGGGCTTTGTAGGGGTTAATATAGAGGTCCCTTTCAAAGGGATAGGTTGCAGGGTTTTAGGGTTTAAGGCTTTAAGGTTTTGGCTTAAAGGCTTAGGTTCTAGAGGACGTAGAGGTTATGTAGTGACTATACATGGGCTTCATAGGGTTGTATGAAGTTTCCACATAATTGCGAACCAAATGGAAAGAACATGAAAAAAAGGTGGAAACTGGACTAGGTTTACAGGAACCATTACCATGGGGGTCACATAGGGGTCATATGGGGATATACAGGGGTTAGAAAAGGTCCTTGGGGGAAACGCAAGGACATATTTCTGAGGATTTAGATGCATAGTTTTAGTGTTTCGGGGGGCAATGCTTCTGTCGCACGGCTTATATGAGGCTTTTCTGGCAAAACTAGGAATATATATATATATGTAAAATGGCTATGGACAGTTTGTATGGAGGAAAGCTATTCACTTGACATTTACTGGGACATAATGTAGGGGCAGAAACAGTTAGAATAACGAAGTACACTGGACATGACATTGTGAAGTGAGAATATAGAAGGCTTTGTGGGGATTCCAGTGTAGGGGCACAAAAAAATTTGAAACGTGTTTTAGGGTTACATAATGCTGTACGTGCACAGGGGTTATGGTAGAAGGATAACATCTCCGATGCCCGAAACCCTAAACCCTTACTCAGATTCTTAACCCCAAGCCCTCCGCACAGATCCTCGCCCTCTACGAAGCCCAGGTTCGCCACGGGGTTTAAGGTTTAGGAAACTAACATGGAGTCCTAGAAGCATCAACAATTAGGGTTTTGGGTTTATAGCGCCCCCTAAGTAGATAGAATATGGTTTTGTGTATATTTTGATAAGATCACCATAAATATTCTATCTACTTAAGGGGGACTATAGGGGTTTGGGGATGTGGGTTTCCCATGTTCGTTTGGTGGACAGCCCGTCGCCACTGACCCTAACCCTGAATTCGAGTCCATACGCATCAAATCCTACATCCTAAACTCTTCATTACCCCGAAAAAACCAGGGCTGTGTAGGAGGTATGAGGGGCGTGTAGGGGCCCTCTAAACCCTAAACGTTAAGCCCTAAACCATAAACCCTAACCTCCAAGCTCTCCAACTATACTGTTTTACCTCTGAACCTTACACCCCGACCCCAAACCTGAAACTTGACACGTTTGTGAAAACCCCTGAAGCCGGCTTAGGGTTTAGGGTTTAAGGTTTACGGCCTCATCCCTAGCTAAACCTTAAATCCTAAGTCCGTCGGCCTTGAGCGCCTCGGTGTCGACATGCGGGGCATCGTAGTCCTGCAGGTGCAATGCATCTTTGGGGTTTAAAGGTTTAGAGTCTAGTATAATCCTAAGCAATGAACACCAAACCTGACCCTCCAACCCTCAGACACTTGAAGGAGTGATATCGCTTCTTACGAAACACAGCCATCCTTCAAGGGCATTTTGGATAGTTTGCGGGAGTGAGAACCTCCAAACAATTTTGTGAGGACTTGCCCCCAAACCAATAACCCCAAGCCTAAAACCCTGAACCCGCAACCCTAAATGCTGAAACTCTCGACCTTCACCGGACAACTCCACTCCAGCAAAACCACCTGAAACCACGCAAAACCTGCAAAAAATAGCAACACCAACAACACAAAAAAGTCCTGGACCCTAACGAGGGTGGGCTCCCCAAAGTAGTACCCTAAGGGTCCAAGTACTTAATAATCATATACTTACCTTTCAAAACCTGTACTATAATTACTATTACCCAAATCCCAAGTACCTAATTCTTGGGTACTTGGGCCTGAAACCCTAGACTCTATATACCCCTCTGTATACCCCTAGATATACCCCTATATAACCCTAGATATTTCCCCTTTGAAAGGGATCTAATTATTGGGTACTTGGACCCTTAGGGGTAATGGGGGCGTCTCAGGGGTTTGTTTTTGATCCTCTCAACCCTAAAGGGGGTCTGGCTAGGTTTGAGAAACCCGGGAAGGATTTAACCCCAAAACCCGAACCTAGAAGAAGAATCCCTATCAGAATAATCTGAACACGTGGGCTTAAATGCGCCCCTAATGGATTTATATGAGATTCTCGACTTGTTGCAGATTCAAGTGTTGTAGGGGCGGTCCTTAAACCCTAAGCCTGAAGCACTAGACCCTAACCCTAAACCCTAAGTCCCAAACCCCTGCACGGGCTTCAGACCCCAAAGGCTCCAGAATCCACCCTTATTTAAGTCCTGGTTCAACCCCAAGTCACAGAGAACTTTAGGGTCTAATAGGGAATGAGTAGGGTTTAGGGTTTAGGGTTTATTTTTAGTCTGGGTATGCTACCCCACCCACAACCCCAAAATGAAGCACGGCTTTATGGGCTTTGTGCTTAAGACTACAGCTCAATCTAAACCCATTCTGTTAAGGGTCTAGGGTTTAGGGTTCCATTTAAGCTAGAGTGTAAACTCCTAGCCCCCTTCATAAGGCTATAATAGGATCCCTATCTCATCCCCATAGATTCCCCTTTGAGAAGTTTAGACTACAGCTTACTCAAGCTTTATTTGGTGCTGAGATGTGTGGGGGGTTGAGAGGGTGAATGATGGGGGTTCCCGAACCGCCCCACCTATAGGCAACCCCAGCATGGATTAGCTTGAGCTCAAGTTAAGAAGAAAGCCAAGTCTGCAGTATGGGTGGGGTTTGGGAAGCACCCTAAACCCTAAACATAACACCTGAACCCTGACGCCCAAAAACCTCGAATCCTAAAGCCTGAACACAAGAATCTGAATCCTAAACCTTTGAAGAACTGAAACCTCAGTCTCCTCAACCCTTGATGTAAAGGAATTTGGGAGGAGTCCTCCTCCTTGGCAGGGCAATCCTGGAAGTAAAGGCCAATCCTGAACTTTTTACTTGGAAGCTCATGGATTCAGGGGATTAGGCTTTAGGTTGTTAGGGCTTAATTAGGTCTTCGGAATAATTCTAAGCGAGGATAGGTGGAAGGAGAATGTGGTTCTTGGCTGTAGGGACTACTACAAAGGGCTGCGCAAGGATTATGACCCGGATCCGTAGAGTTCAGGAGCTCGCTTGGAGGTTCATGGGTTATTGAAAACACACTGATACCTGCAGTTAAAACACAGATGTAAACATATCAGGGGCCTTAGTGGCTTGTAATCCATGCATACTGATTCATACTAATTTGAAGCAACCCCCCAACCTGCACCTCAGATTAAAGATGTCCCGCAATATGTTAGATAAAGGTCTGTTATGATCTTATTTGGGGGTGGAGTGGGGAGGGGGGGGGCGTTTAATCTTAGCATGAATGGATTGGTTGCGTATAGGCACAGCGAAAAAAGGTAGGAAAGACAGTCCCTGCTTCTGTGTAGTGATTTTTCAAGGTTCTAAGGTTTGTAGCGTTTCGGGCTTGGAGTCAGAGAGAAGGAAAAATCAAGTGGAACATCGAAGGGAGAATGACATGGACCTTGGGGCAGGGTCTATAAATCTTTTGAGATTTCGGGTTTATTTGCTCCCGAAAGAAAGTACTGCTTGTTGTTGGGGCGTGGTTATACGTGGTGTAATAATCCAAACGAAGAAACACCAAACCAATCCTAAACTTTAAGTCCTACGCTCCTGAATCCCCCCATAACCCTAAACTTACACTGTAACATTCTTGGCTTCTTATGCAACCTAAACCCCCAAACCCTGAACCCATAAACCCTAAATCCTAATCCTTAAACCCTACTTGGAGGGTCAGGGAGAGGTTAATAACCCCTATAACCCATATAGTAACCCCATTTATCCCCATTATTACCCTACTTACTAAGTCGCCCTGACCCCCCAAGTAAACTCCCAGTTAGACTTCTGCAGCAGAGGTGCTCTTCGTTCTTCTCGATGAGGTGCTCCTTGCCAGGGAGGTAGTAGGTGCCTTGGCATGTGGAGGTTTCCCTAAATTAGGGTTACCTTTACGGGGCGTCCATAATAAGGACTATAGCATTTTTGGGTCTATGTTGGGGTCGCCCTACTTAGGGAAACTCTTGGCGGCATGGGAGCCATAGTCGAAACTCCTAGTATCCCCCTAAAGAACCCCTCTACTAGTCCCCTGTAAAATCCCCATATAGCCACCTTTAAGGAGTTTACGCTATAGCTCGCGTATGGTTTAGAGGTTTCAGGTTTTGGCATTTACGGGTACAGGGGCTCTATGCAGGCAGTCTGCAGCAGATCCGGATTCGGGGGTTAGACGGTTTAGGAGTGAGGGCCTACACCGTTAAGCTCAAACCTGGGTTTAGGGTTTGGGGTTTAGGGTCAAACCTTAAACCGTCAGTTAGGGGTATGGTTGCCTGACGTGTTGGATCGTCAACATCATCTTTGGAGCCATACTATGAAAAGTCGTAACGATTGCCTTGCTCCTGCTACATGGAGGTTCATGATAAGCTGCAGGAAGGGTTACAAATAGGATAAGTATGATTATAGCCTAATCAAGACACTTTACTTACAGCCATACAAGAATCAACTGCTCGGTCTGACGAGCAAGAAGGAATGCAACAGCATCCATAAGCAACGCTAAGAGCATTGATGCAAATCACACTACAAGCCCTGCATGGCTTCAGTATAGCAGAATACCGTCATTCCCAGAGAATGTGCTATTTAACGTGATACAGGATTTTGAATATCAACCCTAGCACGTACTTGAAATGACTCAGAGGTTGTGAATGATTCAGTTGTCAGACTTGGAGTTTAGGACCTCAGGCCTACGCGGTTTAGGGTTGAGCGTTTGAAGTTTAATGTTGAAGGGCAGCAGCCGTCCCGGATAGCCCTTATGGAGTAGCAATCGGAAAGCCGATTTCTGGCAGCAGCAGTAATGATAATTGGAGGAGGAGTGGTCAGAGCAATTAACATGGTAACGTTCCAATGCGCGCTTGGGATCGAATAGAAGGGTCCAGCCTTAAAGCACGGTTGGAAATCAGTCCCTTCATGCTAATATCAACCCCTGTGAAGTATGCCACACAAGAGATGCTGTGTGTTGGGGGACCAACTACCCTAAACCCTAGACCTTTTGCTGAAGACCCGGGCTTCGCCGCTCGGTCGGCCGGTGGGTCTACTTGTTCTTTACTCCAGGCTTCATCTTCCGCCTAGACCTTGAAATTCGCTTAACAACTTGTCTGCATCTAAATGCAATCGGTACTTCAGATGCATGCTTTCTTCGTTTGGGGAAGATACTGCTTGGCCGACCAACCGTCCGACTAACTGACCAAGCGCCCGGCAAGAGCCTAACTCGTCAGCCAAACCTTCTACTAGGCGCAAAGCAACAACAAAGACAAACAAATAGATGGGCGGTTGTCAAAATTATGGTCCCTTTTTGGGTACCCTAAATATAAGGTGCCGTATTCTAATAGGGATCCAAACAGGGACCATACTTTTGACATCCACCCAGATCAAGACATCCCACTTCAATCTCTCTGTGGGCAATCCCCACAAGACAGGAAATCTCCTCGAATGAGCTTCTGCTTTGGTTCTTCTTTTATCCCTCATCTACTGACCAAGCGAGATGGGCAAGCCTAGTATACTACGGTATGACACCACAATTCCTCAGGTAGAAGGTTTTTTAGCAGAAGGTTAGGCTTTGGAACCCGTAGGGCCCTTAGGTTTATCGTCCCCCCTTAAGTAGATGGAGTATGGCTTTGGGTATATTATAATAAGATCCCCATATACCCCATATTCTGTCTACTTAAGGGGGACTATAGGGGTTTAGCACGCTAATCCTGAAACCACTGATTAAGCCACAACCCTCACACCTTTAAGCCATAGACCACAAACACTGCACCCAGAACCCTGCAACCCCTCATGAGTTATAATGTTTTTTACACGTACGCCCTCAACCCTAAACCCTAAACCCTAAAACCCTAAACCCTAACCCTAAACCCTAAACCCTAAACCCTAAAACCCTAAAACCCTAAACCCTAAACCCTAAACATTATAATTCATGAAGCCCTGCAATCCCATGATGCCACAGTGCAGGGAGGGCTGTGCTTGTAGACGTACTGCGAGCGCAGGCAGTAGACCTCAGCCACGCGGTTTAGGGTTTA